TTCAGGTGTTGATTATCAGAATGTTCATGTGTTTGTTGTCATAACGTTTGGGTGTTGGTTATCAGAACATTCAGGTGTTGATTGTCATAACGTTCAGGTGTTGTTTATCAGAACGTTCAGGTGTTGGGTATTAGAACATTAATTGATCTTAAACTTTATTTGTGCACATTGCCAGAATGTTTTTGCTTTATACAGACAAACTGAAATTATGTCAGATGAGATGAGAGACTGAGTTCAACAACAAACTGCTGTTGCAAATTTTGTGCCTTTTCAGGTTCGTCATCATCAGCCTAGCCAGTAATTTTACAGCATCCTTAACTGTGACAGCAGTGCCTCAGCTAGTGAAAATAATATAATCGTCAGGTGGAGGAAAACAGATAAAAAAAAATAAGGGAAAGGAATGCATTATTTTATAATATGAACAACATATCAAAAATGTCATTTATAATGGGTTTTAATAGGGTTGAGGGTGGAGAGTAGGGAAGCTGCTGGGAGTTTATAGGAGCATTTAAAACAATTTTTACAATGAACAAAAAAAAATTCAAGCAGCTTGTATTTGTCAGGATGAGCCATGTTGATTGGCAATGCCAAAAAAAAATAATAATTCAAAACGTAAATACATGTGTGGCTGATTATTTTTCCCCATGAGACATTCTGAGGGTTAAAATATTAAAATATGAAGAAATGCTCTTCATAATAAATCTTGTGATTCTTTACCGCAGCTTCCGAAATGATGAACAGAAAATTAAACAAAGTCATGTGACAGCAGGTGATGTGAAACTGGTGTCTGCACTCAGACGTGGCGTGTGTCTAACCGTCAAGTCTGATTACAGACAGAACCGTGTCCAACCTGGTTTGGGATTCTGGGACTGAGTCTCCTCGAGGGCAGCAGATCCAGAAGCCTGCACTGGGGGGGAGGGGGGGCACTGGGTGGGGAGAGGGGCTTTAATTTGTGAAGCTTGGGTGGGAGGGTGCTAACCCTGAGCCATCTGCTGTCTTATTTAGCTGTGACACCGTTACAGTCAGAAGTGTGTTTACACATCTTCAAAACTTTGGCCTTTTCATGGTTCAGTTCCTGAGCTGGGATGATTGTACAGCAAAAACTTTACAGACTTTTATAAAAATCCATCCATTATCTTTACCCGTTTATTCCATTTTTGGGTCACGGGGGTCGCTGGTGCCCATAGCCAGCCATCACTGTGTAAGTGGTGGGGGACACCCTGGACAGGTCTCCAGTCCATCACAGGGACACATAAAGACAAACAATCATTCACTCTCACTCACACCTAGGGACAATTTTACCTGTTAGGATAATTTAATATTATCCTTGTAGCTCATTAAATAAATATGCCACACAGGAGAAGTAGATCATTTTCTTAATCCCAGGTTTAATCTTGCAAGATGGAACAAAGGTTGAAATACAAGCAGGCAAGATGTTTACATGTCGCTTTGTCTCCAAGTCTTTTTTTATTAACAAAGCCAAGGTCAGACGACTCCTGCAGCCTCTTGCTTAGGCTTGAGTTTTATGAGGTGAAAGGCTGGAGAAAACCCACGCATGCATGGAGCAAACTTCACCCAGAAAGGTCCTCGGATCGAGATTTGAACCAGGGTAACCTGCTCGCTGAGGGGCAGCAGCTCTACCAGTTGGGCCACTGTGCTGCCCCAGAAAGATTTCAGCCTCGCCAATTTAAAGAACTTTCTAGAAATTTTACACACAGACTCAAATATATCCATATACCGGTACTCACCTAAATCTGTTATTAAGTTGTGCTGAAGGTTCTAGAAGAACTGGACTCTGAATAAATCAGCTGAAGAAGCAGAAGAAGATAAAGAAGAAGAACAACAAGAACAATAATATTAATGATAATAATAAAAAGAAGAAGAAGAAGCATGGTCAGATATCAGCCAGAAGCTCATTAACGAAGACAGAAATCTGGAGGTCCAGGTGACACTTCGGCAACTTTTGCACCAAATTCTTACTTTTATAAACAGTTAAAGTTATTTGCTGTAGAATCATTTTAACCAGAGGAAGAAATCGTTCTACTAAATCATGAAAAGCCCAAAAATGAATCTGACATTCATGTCTAGGATGAGTGGATGGAACCTCTGACCTGTGTGTGTGTGTGTGTGTGCGTGCGTGCGTGCGTGCGTGCGTGCGTGCGTGCGTGTGTGTGCATGCCTGCATGCATGCGTGCGTGCGTGCATGCATGTGTATGTGTTAACATGCAGACTGATAACTGTCCTGTTCTGCCCTCAGTTCGGTCAGAACACGGTATCCGCTATGTGAAGCTGCCCTCGGCCTCCAGCGCGTCATCCGTGCTGCGGTTCTTGGAGAACATGTGTCGACATCTGGAGAGCGACAGTCTTTTCAGCTCGCAGCCGTTCGGCACCTTCAGCAACAACACTCGCTTCTGCAACAGAACCAAATCAGGTGGGAGGACACATGCAGAGGAGCGGCTGCTGTTTTAAAGCAGTTCTTTTGAAGGTTTTCCTGCTGCGTGTTGTTTGATTTGTTTTTGTCAAAGTTTATCTGTTAAATAAACTTGCTCCCTTAAAGGGAAAGTTCACATCTTCTGAAGTGAGGGTGATGAGCAGGTAATGTTTTATTTGTTGGAGGAGCTCCGTTTGGACAAACTGTTTAGTTTTGACCAGAACGATGAGCTAATGGCTAGTCAGAGCGGCACCAAAGTTGATTGTTGCATCTTAAAACCATGTTAATCTCCAAATATTCACATCAGTTTGTGCAGACGATAAACTTTTACATGAGTGCGGCTTTCCAGATGAAATAATATGAGATTCCTGCAGAAAGTGCCACAGCTAGATGCTGCTGCTGTTTTCAGTTGCAAATACCCTCAGAATTACTGCATCATGCAAAACTTACAGTGGTATTTGTGTTAACGGCTATAATTTTATTTTACACACCCATCGAAAGGCTGACGGGTTCTGGTGTAGTCTCCATCCGTCTGTAAACTTTCTCTTGTCCCGCAGGAGAACACACAAACTCAGAAAGACCTCTGGTCCAGCCCTGGAACTGAACCCAGGACCTTCTGGCTGTGAGGCAATAGTGCTACCTACTGAACTGTTGTGGTACCCACAAGATCGGAGTCTTTAAGACAGTCCACATTGGTCTCAGCCTGTTTGCCTGCTCAGAACTAAGCTTTAGCTCTCTGTCGGCTTTTTAAAGCTGCTCATTGCAGAGAGATGGAGATTGGTCCAAAACAAATCATGAAGTAAGAACAAATATGTTCACAATCATTTTCTAACATCACTGGCTAATATGATCTTAGATTAAAATTTAGCTAGCAAAATTTGTGACCGCTGCCAGTTTGTTTAGCTACAAAACAGCCAAAGTGGCCGAAAACAGGTGGAAGAGCCAGTTGGCATGCGTCTGACAGTTTGGATGTTTCGGTTTGTTCAGTAAAGTCGTCAGATTAAAAGAGAGGTTGGGTTGAAACAGTAAGCTCCAGATGTCTGCTTCGATGCTGAGCTCTGTTTTTAAGGCTCTCCGCCAACCTGTTCGATCCCCGTCGTTTACTTCTGACCGCCGTCTTTCTTCTTTTACCGCAGATTCACTTTAATTTTTAAACATCTACTCTTGTCCCATTCCACCATATTTGTTTCCCTGCAGACTGCAGCCAGCCTAATTTAGGCCAGTCAGAGACTCGAGCTTCCAAGTGGTTTGAGTCAGTTTGTTTACATTGAATGTGGACCCACATTTCAGAATTACATATCATCATATCTGGAAAACTACCGGAGTAAATAAACTCGGTCAAATGGAAACATATGATATAGTTCAGGGTAAACTTGTTTATGTTTGCAGTGAGTACCTTTAAAGATTTATACGCGTCAGGTAAGATATTAAATGTTTCTAACATTTCCACAGAACCCTGAACAAAAGATCTGAACTATCCCTTTAAGCAGCAGCTGTAAATGCAGATACTGATGGAGTTGAAGTCTTTTAGGTTTTAAAAAAACCTCCCGAGTGAGTCAGAGTGAGTCAGAACCACAGAGTGGAAGCAGGAGTTCTGTTCTCAGGTTCTGTCATCTTGCCCAACAGAAACATCGTCTGTCTCTGAGAACGGACCGTCTAACAACGTCTCCTCAAAGGATGCCTCCCGCCCTCCTCACAGCATACCGGACTACAGAGCAGCAAAGATAGAGCGGCCATTTTACCCAGGGCACACGCAAACGCCACCACCACTGCGACGCTTGACCTCCAACCCTACTGAGCTCGGCCCAACGGGCCCACACCGACGGGTCGAGGGTAGGGAGGAAACTGTTCCATTAGGATAACTCCACTTATTTATTTGTGAAATCTGAAAGGGGCATTAATTCAAGGAATGCTTATCACCTGCCAACGTTTTAAACAAAGCTGCCATGCAGTCTGTTGGTGCTCGAAATATGTGTCGGGGGTAACTCTCAGCTACTACCACACCAAATTTCAGCTCTGTATCTGTGAATTTTACTGAGTTATCACTACTTTTGTGTTTGCTTAAGTAGATAAGCTGTGGCGGCCATCTTTAATTGAGTTAGCCTCACAACTTGATCAGTTGTACACATAGATTTCCTGGTTACATTTTAGGAGTTTTATTAAAATCTGTTCACTGATTTGTGTGATATTTTGCTAACAGGCAGACAAACACAGGTGATAAGAACTGTTTTTACCTGATGGTTTCTTCTTCTGTATTTTTTTGTTTACGTATAAAAAATATTTCAGAGCATTGTAAAACTGGTAAAGTTTTTTATTCGTAAAGTAAAATCGGTGAAGAAATTTGCAAACTCAATTCTGGAAAATAATGGAGTTCAGAAATGAAAATTGCATAGAAATAGAGCAGAATAGAATCATAGAATCCTGACACAGAAAGAATCGTGATCGGTTGATGAGGATCAGTGTTTGGCTTTATAAAAACGTTTGATTCAGTTTGTCTTTGTTACAGCAGCCAGCTCAACAACCAGTCCAGATCAGGTGAAGCCGGAAAAACAGAGTTCAGGAAACGGCGCTTCGTCCTGGTCAGTCGATGATGTCATACGGTTCGTCCAGGAAGCAGATCCTCAGACTCTCGGCCCGCATGTCGACCTGTTCAGGAAGCACGTGAGTCTTTAAATCTTTGTTTTCTGATGACTTTGAAGAACATTCTGTTCGTGAGTTCACGTCAGCAGTTTGAAAAATAAAAGTTCCATCAACGCACGATTCAACGTGGCGTCTTCAGACAGACGTACCAACAGCCCCGCCCTGCAGGTTACAGCCAGAAATATTATTAAAGTTGTTAAAATCCATGTGTTCACACCTCAGAAGCTCTCCATCCATCATCCATCCATCCATCTATCAATCATCCATCATCTGGTTCTGAACTCAGGTCTCGGGGGCAGCAGCTGGATCAGGGAGGTCCAGACTTTCCACAGCCTCCTCTTCCAGCTCTTCTGGAGGACTCCAAGCTATTCCCAGACCAGCTGAGAGACATTTCTAGTCTCTCAAGCATGTCCTGGTCTTCTCGAGGGTCTCCTCCCAGTTGTACTTGTCCAGAACACCTCCCTATAGAGGCGTCCAGTGTCCACCCTTACAGATGTCTGAACCTCCTCAGCTGTCTTCTCTGGATGTGGAGGAGCAGCGATTCTACTCCGAGAGTCTCTCATGGAGAACTGAACTTCTCACTCTCTCTAATAGAGAGTCCAGCTACCCTGCAGCTCAAGGTGAAAGGGCAGGATATCTCAGAAAGGCAACTAAACTCAATTTTCTCCATCCAGAGATGAATTCAGTCCCACCTTCTGTAAATCTCCTCGTCTCATCGCTTCTCGTGGAAACTTGAAGCTTTTGCCATGTTATATTTTTAAGTTAGCTGGATGATGAGGTGTACTTGAGGAATTTAAATGTTTTTTTAAATTAGAGAAATATGCAGCAAGAAGTTACAGAACTGCCCTCATTTTACACTTAAAACACCTAAACCTGTCGGTGCGGTTCACCATGATGGTCTGTGTCAACCACATCACGTTGCGGCTGATGCAGACCAATCCACACCTCTGATACCAATCAGAAAAACTGACATTGACACCTCTGTACAGCCCCACCTGATGTTTGCTGACCTTTAATGTGCCCACTGAAGGTGGACGTATCACGGTATAGACTCCATTGTATGGAGGACGGAACGTGACAAATGGAAATAAATAAATACATAATACAAACATCCATCCATCCATCCATTCATTATCTTTACCCATTTATTCCATTTTGGGTCACGGGGGTCGCTGGTGCCCATGTCCAGCAATCACTGTGCGAGGGGCGGGGGACACCCTGGACAGGTCGCAAGTCCATCACAGGGACACATAGAGACAAACGAGACAAACAACCATTCACTCTCTCACTCACACCTAGAGACAATTTAGAGTTACCAATCAGCCTAACATGCATGTTTTTGGACTGTGGGAGGAAACCGGAGTACCCGGAGAAAACCCATGCATGCACAGAGAGAACATGCAAACTCCACCCAGAAAGGCCCCTGGACCGGGGTTTGAACCAGGGACCTGCTCGCTGAGAGGCAGCAGCTCTACCAGTTGCGCCACCGTGCTGCCCTAATACAAACATAACAATTAAATTTATTATTTAAATATTAAATACATCATTAAATCATTAAATATACAATTAAATTACTAAATACACCATTAAATAATGAAATGTACCTTTTTAAATTATTTATTTCATGGTTTCTTTATTTATTTAATTTTGTCACCTTCCGTCCTCCAGTGACACCATGAATTGATGTTAACTGTCGGTCTCACTCGTCAAACTCAGTGGGCGGGACTAGGGCGGCTCGTGAACAGACCCCGACGCCTGATTGGCTGCTCCTCATAGCAAGCAAAGACAAATCGACCACAGATAACGGATTGATCCACAGGCAAGAGAATCTATTCCGAAACTTTAGGAAGCAGTAATTGTGTTTACGTGTATTTGGATGAAACCTTTTTTCATACCATGAATGTAAAGAAGAAGGCGCACTTTTACGAGCTGCATGGAGGGAGCTTCCATGTATGAACTGACTTCAGACCGAAGCAATGGATTTCACATGATCAGCATCAGTCTCCCCCCCCCCCCCCCCCCCCCCCCCCCCCCCAGTCCCGCCCACTGAGTTTGACAAGTGAGACTGACAGTTAACGTAATTTTTTGGTGGCACACGAGGGTGGAATGTGACAAAATTAAATAAATCATGAAATAAATAATTTAATTGTGTATTTAATTATTTAATTGTATATTTAAATGTGTACTTAATAGTAATTGTAATTAATTAAAAAATAATAATTTGTACGCATCCTTTATGATTGTCTATTGTTGTCCACTGTTGTCATCATTCTTTGTTAAAATCAGGTCTCTCTTGTAAATGAGTCCCCGAGGCTCAATGGGATTAACCTGTATAAATAAAGGTTGAATGAATGAAAATGGTGTATTTAATTATGTATTCAATATTTAAATGATACTTTTCATTTTTATGTATTTCATTTTGTCACATTCCGTCCTCCATACCATCGATACGTAAACGTTCTCTTGTCCCGCCTGTAACTTCTGATCCACTCACAGTTTAAAGAAACTTCATTCTCATATGCATCATCACTAAACGGAGTGTTGTGTACAGCTTTCATCTTCCCAGCTTCAAGGTCAAATGTTATACAAGGTCTTTGTTGCTACAGATTGTCGTAAAATAGCTTTCGGATGGGTGTATAATGTGCTGTAGGCAGTACTGTTGTCAGAAAGTCCTCCGAGGGCCACACTCAGTTAAAACCAGATAAAACCAGTCTTTGCTGTTAGTTTACTCACCGTGAACTTGTCTCTGGTGTTGACTGTTGTGCACCCAGACTCCGCCGAAGCTCCGGTTCAGTTTCATCTCTGCTGCACCTCGTCACACTCTAAACACGCAAGCTGGCTTTTCACTTCCACTAAAAAATAATCACTCGTTCCGTTTCTCCTGATGAATCCACCTTTTTTTTTTTTCTGCACCACCATGATTGACACCTGTCAGTCCTTGACTATCCATGTTGTGTTCACTGGCCTTGATCCTGGTTTGGATTTTTGTATTACAGTCAGTTACATCACAGAAGTACCATTGAGTGTCAGTATTTTCCTCTCAGAGTTTTATAGTTGGCCCTCCTTGTGGAGTGAAAAGGGGAATTGGAAGTACCCTCCATCCATCCATGTGTCCGTTTATTGAGAATGACAGCATGGAAAATAAGTGAGTGAGGAACCGACTTCCATCTTGGTCTGTGGCTGCATCTAGATGTAAGAAAGGTCACTGAAGAAAATTGGGTAGCTACGTCAAAAGTCAAAAATGGTCTTTTATATTTGGTTTACACCTGGTAATTCTAACAGTTAATGGTATTCCTCTGAGTGTGTGAATAATGAAGTGTTTTAAAAAGCATGTAATCCTGGTTCGTTCCTGTCTGACGTCACGCTGATGTTCCTGCAGGAAATCGACGGCAGGGCGCTGATGTTGCTGCGAAGCGATGTCATCATGAAGTACATGGGCCTGAAGCTGGGCCCGGCTCTGAAACTGTGCCATCACATCGAGAGGCTGAGGCAGAACAAACACTGACGGAGCTCAGTTCTCACGGCTTTTATCGAGCTGCGGCGCTTCACCGAGGAGATCCAGGACACGTCTCCGAACGTTCTGAGAGTGGAGGTTTTAGGTTCTGAAACTTAAGCAACTTTCCTCACAACTGTAATGTTTCTTGTGAACACGGAGTCGATTCTGAAGCTGATTTTTATCTTTCATTTTAGGTAAATTTGTAGAAATACAATTAAACATTAAGATGGAAAGAACACAAATCTGTTCATACACATTTTGAACACTTGAACATTTTTCTTATCTGGAAAAGATCGGATCAGTCGGTCAGCTTGGTCAGATCAGAAGTGTCAGCACAGATATGGACTTTGTTTTGTTTGTGTTCTATTTCTTTATTATGAATTATAATATTTTTCTTTCGGCTGCTCCCTACTTCATGGGTCGCCACAGCTAACTAAGTCAATCGAAGACTTGGCAAGTATTTTTACACCGGATGTCCTTCCTGACGCAACCACAGACCACGGAGCTACCACAGCCCTCTGTGTGCAGCAGAGAGCTGCTATCTAGGGCGCCTGGGGGAGCAGATGGTTGGGGGTTAAGGGCCTTGCTCAAGGGCCCAGAGTGGGACAAATGAGAGTAGATGCAGGTGTGGGTGCTTCACCTTTCCCACCCACCTTTTGATGCCGTCGACATTGGGAGCTGAACAGCGCTCCTCTGATCACAGGTCCACCCTCTCTAACCCCTGCGCCACCACTCCCTATTAATTATAATATTATAAATTATAATAAAGAAGAATGACCAAATTAATTTGTTTTATAGAGTTTGACTACATTTCCTCTTTGCCACACACAGATACACATTTTGTAGGAGTTGTTTTTTAAAATTTTTTCAGGGTTGGTCGTGCGGAACTAAACACTGAGAAGGTTCATTCCCGTTCTGACAGAAAACTGTCGTTTGGATCGAGGCAATAACGGTTCCTAAACATTCTGATTGTTTTGAACGGGTACGTTTGGTTCACGCATGTCTGAAAGTATGAGTTTACTGGCACTGAACGACAGGAGCGCCTCACTGATGTGGTTCAAACGTTCACCCATTTATTTATTTTTACGCTTTTCTTCTTTTCGGGTTGTGGGTTACTGGTTTTTATCTCCAGCCATCACTGTGGACAGGCGGTTGACACCCTGGACTGGTCTTCAGTCCACCACATGTCCTGGAAACAGAATATAAATACTGGTAAAAAAAAAATTTACCTAATATAAAAACTTGTCACCATCAAGCAGCATATTGTTACCAGAGACCCCGTCTTTAGTTTAAAAGAGTCAGAGCCACCATTTTGATTGAAACTGGGATTATTTTATAATTGACCACTCCCATGGAAGATGGGCAATAATGTAATTACCTCTTTTTCTGTCTGTCTGTTAGGAAAATATCTCATGAACCTTTGGATGGATTGTAATGAAGCTTGCAGAATATAACCATTGGATTATTTTTTTACATCTCATCGACTTTTTAATTTGAGTTAAATAGTTTATAGATGAACACGCAATGATCACCTTCTTAAAATTTCATTAAAATCTCTGGTTCATGAGAAATTTTGCTCCCAGAGAAAAGACAGTTACATGATTATCCGCCTTTCAAGGAGGCTGGTGATAAAGATGAACCTGGAACAGTAAAAGCAGCTGAAGAGGGATTCCTCTTGCCTTTGTGTGTCCTTGTGCTGAATAACGTACATGCACACCCACTGATTCATTTATGTTAAAACTATCCAGCACAAACATAAAGAGGAGATGAGGGACGGAAACAATTTCTGATTAATTTGACATTAAAGTAAAAATCAACTTTCATCTGTGCTGAGAGGAGAAATTCTGAGACAAAATAGTTTTGTAAAAAGTTCAGCTAAAAGCGTCTTTTTTTTAATCGTTTTGTACTCAAAGTGTTTGTTTTAGTCAGGACTAGTTTTCTGTGTGCACCATCAAATATACCTGCAGGACAATAATCCGTCTTCAGGTAAAGTTCTCTCGTTTCTAAGTGTTTCGTCTGTTTTTGGCAGAAAATCTTCTTTTCTGAACATTTCAGAGTCAAACCAAATCAAGTCTTGTAGCTCCATGTTTCTGTTCTGTAGTGAGAACAAGTTAAACTTGACACTGTTGCTTTAATGTGAAACTCAGGTTTTAGTAGAAGTTTTTATTTGTAGGACCATCTGATCATTTTGTCTTCATCACGTCAGTAAAAAGGGACTGCAGAATGATGTATAAGTTAACGCCTTATCGTATTTAGCTCCTGTAGCATTTTTGCTGTGTATTTACACAAATTTCTACTGTTACATGATTGTTAAACATGTTTGCTATGCATTCTCACAATAAAATATTTTTTTTGTTAACATCTACTAGTTTTATGTGGACAGAGGGAAAGCTAGTTAATTATTTCTTTAGTTTTACCATCTTTAGGTCTCACCGAACCACAAATTATTTAATGTATCTTCATAACTCCGTAGTTACTGCTTGCCACCATGAAATGTAAGTGATTGTGTTTGACTGTTGGCAAAATATCCTATGAATTACTGGATTAATTTAATCAAACCTGCTGTATGTACATCAACTTGAGTCAGTAGGCTATGACTGCCAAAATTGGTCAGCCTTCAAATAGCTACAATTTAGTGACTTTTACAAGACTTTAAGCTAAAATATAGTGGGGTAGCTGACATAGGCCAACTCTGAGGGCAACAGATCTTTGTGTAAAATTTTGGCATGCAAAGTAGCAGGTAAAATGCATTCTTTCAAGAAATGTTAGAACAAAAATTCAGTGTTGAATTAGGTTTTATTTGGTTTACACCAAAAACTAAATTAAAAAAATATATAAGGATTTGCTGTTTCAATAAAAAAATAAATAAAAAAAAATCACTAGAATCAATTAAAAAAAAACATGCCAGAGTTTTGAACTGAAAGATTATATAATCTGTTAGAGCTCAGATTATGTGTTGGAAATTAGTTTTAGCTACTATCACACAAGATTTTAGCTCATCTGTAAAACTGATTTTCTTCACGTGATGCACTGAAATTTATTTCAAAGAATAGTCGATTCAAATTAGATAAAGGGCGAATGAAAACTGTTGTCACATAAAATACAAATTTATCGTTACATTTTTTTTAAACAGTTTTCTGGTTAAAATAACCAAAGATTTTCATGTTTAACGTTATTTGTCTGTGATCGACTTGCTGAGTTCTGTAACATCTGAGATCGATTAGTCGTGGCTGCGGGGCTGAAGACTTCTTACCTACACCCATAGATGCCTACACCTACCGGAATAAAAGCATCTTGTCAGAGTATCTTTTTCTCTTATCCTCTTTCAGGTAATTGCAAAGCGTTTGTAAAACATTTTCTGTTGAGTTTTTGAGTATTTTCAACAAAAAGTTGAGTGGTTCTGATGAAGTTGTTGACGTTTGAATTAGGACCGTTATTTAAAATGTTGTTTGAAGCTTCGCTGAGACGTCTCGCCACAAGTGCATGACATTGTGCGTGTGCGTGCGCGCGTGTGTAGACTATTCAGCTAAGTGAAGTGTACGTTCAAGGACAGAAACTACATTTATGGTTAAATTCATTGATGATTTTGGTAAAAGGACAAATGTAAGTTCCTATTTTTATTTTAATTCAAATAAATTCCCACAACACCTGAATGTAAAGCATTGTATCAGAGTATCTTTTATTCTTATTATCCTCTTTCAGGCTACAACACTTACACGAAAGTTAGTCATGGAGTTCCTCAGGGTTCAGTGCTTGGACTAATACCCTTTATCTTATACATATTATGTAAAGTTATTAAACAGCATGGGATAAATTTTTATTGTTATGCTGATGATACACCGTTATATTTGTCCATGAAACCCAATGAATCAAATCAGTTACTTTGTCTTAACTACATAAAAACCTGGATGACCCTTAATTTTCTGCTTTTAAACTCAGACAAAATTGAGGTTTTGGTTTTTGGACTTTACCATCTCAGGAATGACTTTTTCAGTCTTTCACCCTCCTTAGATGGCATTAATCTGTCCTCCAGCTCTAATGGTAAAAATCTTGGTGTTATTTTTGATCAGGACGTGTTCCCCACATTAAAAACTGTACTACCACCTTCTTCCACCTGCGTAATACTGCTAAAATTAGAAACATCTAAAAATGATGCAGACAAACTGGTTCATGCTTTTATCATATCTAGACTGGAGGCAATGGTTTGTTATCTAGGTGTCCAAAAACTTGACTGAAGTCTTCAGTTGATCCAAAATGCTGCTGCCAGAGTCTTAATGAGAGTTGGCAGGAATGATCATACTTCTCCAGTTTTAGTTTCTCTCCACCAGCTCTCTGTCAAATTCAGAATTGAATTCATCATAACCTACAAAGCTCTCAACAACCTAGCTCCATCTTATATTACATATCTTATTGTTCCATATTTTCCTAACAGAGCGCTTCGCTCTCAGACTACAGGCTTACTCGTGGTTCCTAGAGTTTCTAAGAGCAGAATGGGAGGAAGCTCTTTCAGTTATCAGGCTCCTCTCTTGTGGAACCAACTTCCAGTTTCTGTTCGTAGGGCTGACGGTTTGTCCAGTTTTAAGACTGAGCTTTAGACTTTCCTTTGTGATAAATCCTATAGTTAGGGTTGACCTTTTATGCTGCCATACGCTTAGACTACTGGAGGACAAACTGACCACGTTTCTTAAAATGAATTGTTACAATTGAATAGTTTTCATTTGATACTATTTCTATCTTAACATGTGATTCTTGACCTGCCATTGTGTATCTGTTCCTCCTTCCTGTCCTCTCAAACCCAGCTGGTCGAAGCAGATGGCCGCTTGTCCCGAGCCTGGTTCTGCTGGAGGTTCCTTCCTCGTGATGGAATTTTTCCTTTCCACTGTCGCCTTCATGCTTGCTCAAGATGAGAGTTCTTACATGTTCCTGTTTTTAGTAGTTTCTTCAATCTCCTTAGATGTTTCCTCTGCTTGATGCCAGTGATTTGACCCTTCTCAAACAGACTGACATCTTTTCCACGACCTTGCGATGTGTCTTGTTGTTTAAGAAATGAGAAGCAACTCATTTCACCAGTTGGGGTTAAAT